TGCACTCTCTTTGATGGAAACCAAACTGCCGGCAGTTGATTTCAATCGTTGGAATATATATATATATACAGTTCCAAAATGTTTGCAAATGATTTTAATTCCTGGGATCCATGTGAGCAGAGAGTGCAGCACTGTTCCTTGCAGCTGAGGGAGAGGTCCTCTTTTGTCGGGCAGTGTTTGATCATTATGGACTGAGAGGTTAAGTGTAAGGCCATTTAGGGTTATACCTGATGAGCTAATCTTGCATCTGCCCACAGTCCCTGTGTTTTTATAAGATGGCTTGGCCCAGGGACCACTTAGTGTAAGTGTTGGGCCCATGGAGTCTATGTGATGAGCTCAAGGGGTTCATTGGGTTTTTCCAGTGAATTCGGCTAGGCCTTATAACAGAGGCTGGGCCGAACCCATGTGGCTGATGTGTAGATCAATGCTTGGGTCCCACGCCAAACAAAGAAGCCCAACTGAGTAGCAGTTTGGAAGCCTATTGAGCACTTGATACATATTGGGCCTAAAGCCCATTTCGAACTGGGTTGATATGATCAGTCACTTAAAGGGCGGATTTGAGATTAAGTCAAGCCAAAAGGATTGGGTCTTAACCCTATCCACTCATGGAGACCAAGTTCAAATTAGGATTTGAATATGGTAACCTCCTGATAAGATCAGGAGTAAGCTAACTTAATTTGCAAATAGGATTAAGAAGACTCCTTATCCAAATACAGATTTGGATTAGGATAACTCCTAATGGGATTAGGAGGTTTCTTAATCACTAAGAAAGAAAGGGGAGAAACCCTAATTCGAATTACAAGAATTCGAACCTTAAGGGAATTTGTAGAGAATACTCTGCAACTAGAGATTGGATCGCAAAGAAACCCTAGAGAGGAGAAAGCAGTTCGCTACCTTCTTCTCTAGTCTTCTCCTCCAGCAGCCGCCGCCATCAACTGCCAGTTCGATATCTCTGTGAGGGAAAAGATCAAGAAAGCTTCTTGATATCAGTTTTTGTTGAAAGATTGATCGTGTGTAGTGCTCATTGCTTCCATCGAGTTCTTCAGAAGGACCTGGTTCGTGGGACGAACACTGCTGGTTTTGTTCCATCATCACTGTGTCATCTTCAGTGGGAGTGGTTCTTGGAAATTTCTTTGGGCGTGAACACCGACATTGGGAGATACTCTTTCTCCAGATCAGGTATATCCCTTCCCTTTTCTTTTGGTTCAGATCTGGTTCGATTTTGGTTCAAGTCAGATCCTTGAATATTGTATTCTAAATTTAGGGAATATGATTCCTAGTTGGAAGAAAGGTAAGAAATTTTTGAAATTTGCCCACCCATTCCGCATCCTTTTGGCGATCATATGATGGATCTTACCATTCTTTCATGAATGTCATCAAGCTTTGAATCCTAGTATTGAAAATTTTCAATAATAAGCACCCGACTTGCACCCTAACCGGTTAATCATCCATTCTTGCTCCTATGACATGGTATGACCCATTTGGCTTAGATGGTGTTTGATAAAAATCAAATCTAAAAGCTAAAACACTCTTTTTTAACTGTTGGAAACCAAAAATTTGCAATTTTGTTTTCCAAAGTCGAAAGAACTAAGAAGGGCATTTTAATCATTATGAGCCATATAAAATATGTCTAAAAACATACATGGGCCTTCTCTTGCCAAATTAGACCTTTTATCACATTTAGAGACAGATATGGTTCAGTTGTAACACAATCGAGTCCCAACCTCTGAAAAATAACTTTTAGATTCCAGACCCTGATTTAAAGCAATCAAACGCTACCTTAGATGGGTAGATCTGCCCCCATCTCCAATTTTTAGATAAATCGTGACACATTACGGGTGCAAAAGGATTGTCATCCGATCCGATCCAAAGTCTGATCCTATATTCCAAGACTTTAGATCTTCGGATCGGATAATAGGGTCCAATCAGAAATCAGATCGAATTTGGATCAGCCCCATATTCAATTCAAGAAGATTCGATTTGAAATATATATATGTTATTTATTTATTTATAAATATATTATTTATATTATATTTTTTTTGTAAATTTGTAATATTATTTATTTATTTTTTATAAAAAACATGTATATATGATGAAAATATACTTGTAGTTTTTGTTTTTCTTTATTTAAATTGTTGTATTTTATTTTTCTTTTAATAATTTCTTTCAAAATTGGATAAGATTAGACCCAAAAATCTGACATCCTCGTTGGATTTGAATTCAGATTCATGTTTATCAGATTCGATTATATGTGCAAATGACAATGTCGGATCGAATTCAGATATACCCTGATTCGAATCTGATGTTTGCATCCCTTTGACACACCACTTGATTATAACAAAATATAGAAAAAATTGCCATGTCTTGCCACATCAGAAGAGTGACATGGCAGTTGTTTTTGCTTTAAAGCACAAATTCATGCATGTTGGCAAACAACCCCTTAGTATGATTGTATAGTTGGTCTCACTTGATGTGCTTCAATGACGATGCCAAGAAAGGCTTCTCTGATCTGATTTAATTCCCTGGCGACATCATTTATGTCCATTCGTTCTTTAGGAGATTCAGCAGAACATTGGATTCCAATTCTTATCACTGGAGCAATAAACTCTTGCAATTTATCCATCACATTACCAAGACTTCCAAAGTTTAACCTGGTTTCCTCTTCTGTTTCTTCTCCTACTCCATTCATGGGTAGAAGTTTTGGGTCCAAAATTTTCATCACTTCTTCAGGAAAAGCCATCTTTGCAAATCTATGGAGCTTTGAACATTTCATCTGTTGGTCTTTTTCCTGTGAACATCTCCAGTAAGAGGATTCCATAGCTGTACACATCCCCATGTGTTGACACCTCGCCACTTGTGCCATACTCTGGAATTTATATTTATATCTCATTAAAAGCGTAAATGTAAAAACCTTACAGTTTTTTCAAATGATCTATAGAACCCAAAACACTCTCAGCATTAATGGAAAAAGATAAGAGAGCAGCTTAAACATCACGAGGAAAAGAAGATTCAAAACCGACCTAGTTAGATAATGTATGAGCTGATTTTGATTGTTGCTCATTTATTTCATAGAGAATTAAAAGAACTGATGGGATATCTAAACATTTCAACTTGGACTGTTGAAAAGGTTTCATCTTAACATTGGAAAAATGATACTATTTACTAATTAGAACTGGAACTTTTCTACCTTTGTTCTTCAGATCACCTACCCGCAAACTTTTCCTACGTCCCTACCTACGAGACACTAATGTTGTGTTTTAGGAACATATTCCCATGAATGATAAAGAAGATATTTCCAATGTATACTTTTAGGGCATACTCATTTTCGGGATTTTGAGAGGGGGAAAAGTTGATCAACGGAATTTTGATTTTCATTAACTAAGATACCCATGTTGTTTTCTCAGATTGATCTGGGGTTCATGTAAAATTTATTCTCCTTACATATCACTTACCCCGGCTAATTGATAACCCATCTCCTAGGTGGGGAACTCGAATTAGCTGAACGATTTAACTGTTCAGCGGGCTGTGGAACCAATGATGAGGTTCTATGCCAGTATTGAATTCATAGGCCCCACTGTAAAAGATGTAGGTCCCATGTATTTAATACTGGTGCTGAACAAGTAAGCGTTCAACTAAACCTTGCTCCTAGGTGGGTGGGTAACTTTTTCACATGGGTAAATGTACCTAGCCGGGTAAGTATTTCCCCAAGTAAGTGCATTTATCTGGGAAAGTAACTTCCTAAAAAGGAGCGGGGCCTTAGTGTGTGTAGGGATGTGGGAAGAGTTTTGGGAAAAGTATGGACAGACCCAATACAGAGTTTTGAATTCCACTGCGGATCTATAAACATTAAAAATGTCAAAAACCCCTACTTTATGCCCCAATTCCTGCCCGTAAATTAGCATCAATTCCGAATTGGCACCTACCCCATCTGTACTTCGGGTCTATGAATTCTGACCCTGGGCTGAACTGTCATTCTCCCAAGAGTTTATGGGTAAGTGCTCCGAACCCCTTTTCGAAAAGGAAATACAATGGGTTTTGTTCAACCCCTTTTGTTCTTTATCCTAATGATATGGTGCTATTATTAAATCCTACCAGGGGATGCTATGATTAGGATTTGGGTGGATGAATTAGGGGTGCAACTTGGGTACGCTAGCTGGGTCAGGTTTATGTTCAATACTTCAATTTAGACCAAAGCCTAAAATTTTAGTTTGGGCTGAGCAAATTATATCAATGTACACATTTCAATTGGGCTGAGCCTAAAATTTAACACATTTCAATTAGGCTTGAGTTGGCAATATGGGCTCAGGCACTCTATTTTACCAATGTACAAGCGAAGGCCTTAAATCTATACAAGTTCACTAAGCTAAACTGTTAAATGGGAATATCATATATTATTGTGCATGCATGTATCCAGATGTATATGCATACACCAAATAGAATGGCTTAGTGAAACAGGAATTGTAACCGATCCATAGACAAGGCTCAGATGATGACGTGCATGTATGTATAATTGGGCTGAGTACTTGGTGGGGATTGGGCGAGGATTGAGCTGGTCTTGGGCAACCTAAGGCCCAGGCCCAGAAGAAAAACAGAAAACCTCAAAACCCAACGATTTTGGGCCAGCAGAATTTGATGATAAAATATCCAGACTCAGATCGTCGGTGTAAACTTTCGGATTGCATTGGCTTGAGCTCAGGTTGGCCCTGCCTAAACTGCACCCCTAAGATTAACATAGATTTAGGGGTGTTGTAAAACGTGAATGTTTTTGTTTTCATTCGTTTTTAAATTGTTACGTCAGCAAATCAAAAGAACGAAAACATGTTATGTTTTTTATTATCTGAGAAGCAAAAACAAGTTCAGTCTTGCTTTAGAAAAGCAATTCATGTTTTTGTTGTATGATTTATGAAAACAAAAAACATTTTTACAAATTGCAACTAAACACATGTTTCCCATGTTTATTTTAAAAAACAATTTGTCTTCACACCAGATGATTTTAATTTGTTTTTGAAACTCACCCGAAGAACACCCCCTTAGTTTCTATTTCCCACCTCTACGAGGATACACTATGGGAATGCATCGTATTCGTATGCTTTTAGGTGGAACCCATGAAAAGACACTAAGCAACAAAATTGGAAAGATTTTACATAGATCCCACCTACTTGGCATTAGAGTGAAGCAAACAGAGAGTTTCATAAATCATAGTTCTTTGCCTCCACTCCTCAATACAAGGAAATAAAGGGGAGTTGTTTGGGTGCATCCCCCATGAAAACTAAGGTCGATTTATTTATTTTTAAGATTGTAACACAAAATTTGGATTTACAAGACTAGAATGATATTAAGAAAACAGATTCTATTGAATCTACTTGACCATAACCAATAATGTTCTGGTGGACCATGAGCTGAGCAATTCAAAGGATCTAGTTAAGATGGCTTCAATTGGTCACAAAACATTTCTGTATGTGAAACACAACTTATATCTGAAAGAAAGGTTGTTGTCATAAATTCATAACCAGACTAGTCTTAGGCCATGTTTGGGAGTGCTTAAAAATAAGTGTTTATTTGGGTCGGGCCTACACCATTAAGCACTTATTGCTGTTTGGGAAATAAGCTCGAAATAAGTTTTTATTTAAAAAATAAGGGCTTATTTTTTAAGTAAACACTTATTCAAATTTTTCTTCCAAAATGATCCCTATTTGAATTTTATAAAAGTTTATAAAAGTACTTTTGTAAAACTGGTTTCATAAAAGTACTTCCGTAAAAGTGCTTTTATAAAGTATTTTTGTAAAAATGCTTTTGTAAAAGTATTTTTATAAAAGTGCTTTAATAAAAATATTTTCATAAAAGTGCTTTCATAAAAATACTTTTATAAATACACTTTCGTAAAAGTACTTTTGTAAAAACACTTTCGTAAAAGTGCTTTCATAAAAGTGAACTAATCTTAAGAAAAATTTAATAATATATATAATATAATAGTTGGTAAACGAAATGAAAGAGCTGTAGATTAATTTTGTTACCTGGAGCCTTTCAATACAAGTGAGCTAGTCTGGTTCCCACAAGGATCATTTCTGTCTTCTATGAGTAGCCGAGCTAGACCAAAATCACTAACATGAGCACTCATATCATCATCAAGAAGAATGTTGCTTGGCTTTAGATCACAGTGAACAACTGGGATTTGGCAGTGATGATGAAGATAATCCATTACTGAAGCCACATCAGTTGCAATATTTAGCCTTTGAAGGATGTTTAATTCCCTGAGATTGTTCTGTACATCCATGTCTGGATGCAACCACATCTCTAGGCTGCCATTGGACATAAACTCAAAAACCAGGGCTTTGAAATCATTGCCTTTTGAATCCAGACTTGAGCAAGAAGTAAGTATCTTGACAAGATTCCTGTGGCGAATGTTCCTCAATGCACTGCACTCAGTCATGAAGCTCTTGGAAGCTCTTGGTTGTTGAAGGTTGAGAACTTTTATCGCAACAACTTTGTCAACCTGATTGAGGATTCCTTTATACACAGCCAAAGCTACCAGAGCCAATCAAGTTAGTTGCAGAGAATCCATTAGTAGCTTGAAACAGCTCTTTGTAGGAAACTTTGAAGTGTCGATCACCCATTGAAGGTGTGGATGGAGGTTTCCTTTTGGATTTTCTTATCCAACAAACAATAATTAGAAAACAGCAAATCAAAAGAAAAACTGGAACCACAATCATTATGGCCCTCACTTTTTTGGACATGGTATTTTTTCTTTTCAAATCAGTAGTTGAGCAGGTTGGCAAGTGTAGTTCAATGATTCCTCCACAAAGCTTATCATTTCCATCCACTGAAATTGCACTTGCATTTCCAAATACTCCTTCTGTTGGCACCTCACCCTCAAGATTGTTGAAAGACAAATTCAATTTCTGTAAATATTGAAGGTTTTCTAGATCTTTTGGAATTTGTCCTGATAAGTTGTTTTGTGAAAGATCTAGTACTTCAATCCCCTTTAATGAACTTAGTGATGGAGGAATATTTCCCTCCAAAAGGTTATCTCCCATATATAGTTTATGTAAACTAAGACAATTTCCAATACTGTTGGGGATTTTACCAGACAATTTGTTTCCAAAGAAGGTCAATTCTTCAATACTCTGCAACTTTCCTATTTCCAAATGTATGGGACTAGACAGTGAATTAAAATGCAAGTAGAAATGTGATAGGGAAGAAAGACCAAAGACTTCTTTTGGTATGATACCAACCAGATTGTTATGAGAAAGGAACACAATTTTTAGATGCTGACAATTTCCAAGGCTAGAAGGAATACTTCCTGTAAGTTTGTTGTTTTTCAAAGAAAGATAATACAGAAAAGTGAGATTGCCCAAAGAGGAAGGAATCTCTCCTGAGAGTGTGTTGTTTTGCATGTCCAATACTCTCAAGTTCTTTAGTTTTCCAATACCAGGGGGAATGCTACCTGATAATAAGTTGTCCCTCAAGGACAAAATGCTCAAGTTGATGAGGTTTTCTATTCCCAAGGGGATGTTTCCAGATATTTGGTTTTTTTCAAGCAAAAAATATTGAATTGTAGTTGAGAAATTGCCTATAGAGTTTGGCAACGTGCCTCCAAAATTATTACCAAACAGTTCCAATTTCTCTAGTCTGGTAGAGTTGGTCAAAGAAGTGAGAAAACCCAAATCATCTTCTTTCCCTGCTCCAAGTTTATTCCAAGCAATTGCTAGAGTCCAGAGATCCTTAAGACCACCAAAGTCAACATGGATTGGTCCAAACAAATTGTTTCCACCGGCACTAAATATTTCTAGTCCTGAAATATTGCCAAAGGAAACTGGAATTTCTCCAGTAAATTGGTTAAATTCAACTTGGAGGCGATTGAGGTTCGGAAGTGTAAGGCCTATGTTTGGTGGGAAGCTTCCATGAATTTGGTTGTATGTGAGACCAATATGGTTGAGAGATGATAAATTGTACAAGGAGTGAGGGAACATACCAGACAAATTGTTAACACCAATCATGATATATTCTAACCCCGTCAATTTGCCGAGTTCTTCAGGAATGCTTCCTTCCAAGCCATTAAATGATAAAATTAGACCTGTGAGCGTAGACAGGTTACTCAAAGAAGGTGGGATTCGTCCAGTAAAGTAATTTTTGTTGAGATGGATTTCCGAGAGCTTGGGCATGAACCCAAGTTCAGGTGGAATCATTCCACTAAGTTTGTTGTTCCTTATACTCAGCATCTTGAGATTGTTGCACTGGGTCAGATTGATTGGGAGTTCTCCTCTGAAGGTGTTATTGGTCAGACTGATATATTGCAGCCGGAACAGACGACCAACTTCTTGGGGGATGGTTCCACGGAAGCTATAATTGTCGAGATTGATGGAACGAAGAAATGTGAGATTCCCAATGTAAGGAGATAACGTTCCAACCAAGCGTTGCCCCTCTAAATACAAGGACACGACTCGTTGATGCCGACGACCACATGTGACACCTCGCCAATGGCAGAAATGGAGAGAGTCGTTCCAAGAACTTAGTGCTTCAAGGGGATCGTCAGTAATTTGTTTCTTGAACTCAAGCAAAGCATATCGATCAGTCTCGTTTCCTAAACTGGTCATGGTCATGGTGGAAAATTCTGAAGCCAGAATGTTGGTGAACATGAGAACAAGGACAAGGATGGCAAATAGACAGAATGCTCGTAAACTCATCATGTAAGACTAGCCAAGAGTCTTCTTCCTTTGGGATACTTTAGATGGATATATAGAAGTAGCCAAGGCAAATATTGTTGGGAAATAGGGTCATTGAAACTTAGAGGAGAAGCTATGAGGCACGTTTGAAGATGCTGCCTTTAGAACGTTATTTGCCCCCACTCAATTTCATTGAGTTTGCTATTGGGTTACAGACAAATCTGTTATCAGGATACAATAGAGCCTTAGGCGAGAATCTACAATCAACAAAGTTGAAGAGTCTCCGAAGAAACCTTTTGTAAGACTGTAGCAGACCGGATTGAGAGAGAGACAAAGTGACTTTCAAAATTGTGTATGTGAAAGCTTGATTCATGCTCTCTAAATAATTTTTGAAGAGTTATGGAGCAGAGAAAGGTGCTGGTTTAGAAAAGGTAATTAACAGTTAATGACTATCAACTTTGGATTGTGTCTCTTGATCACACCTGATCAAATCGTGGCCATTGAATGCATCAACGGTCAGCCTCGCACCAAAAGTACGAGCAAAATGTGCCTCATTGCGCTGCACACACGTGTGCGTGCGTGCTGTGCAGTAGCAAACCTCCATACTTTTCTCTTTATTTCTAAGGAATGTAAATGAGTTATTATTTAAACTCATAACAAGTTTTGTAATTTTTCAATGGGACAAGTTATAACTTGTTTTAGTAAGAGAAAAAACTATCTTTCAAAACAAATGTACAGATGTAATTTTTTATGTAATTGACCAATCAAACCGCGTTCAATTTAATCTCTAATGAAATTAAAATCCAACAAATACTTCTAACGGTACAACGAATCTACTTGTACCCATTCCAGTATCTGAATTGCAAATCACTATTTAATAAGCATTAATTGTGGCTTCAATGACACTTCAGAAACAATTGACCTATTCTTTGGACTTGACTGTTGACTGTAAGTCATTGGTCACTTAAGACTTTGAATGGTACAAAATGGGTCAGAGATAATCAACCCTTCCAATAAGGGAGAAAAATTAAGTTGGTTATTTCAAGTTCCAATTTCCAACCTGTAATACAAAGCACATCATGAATATAGAATAGGTCAGAGATGATCAGTGCTTCCTATAAAAGAAAAAGAGGGTATTTATTTCAAGATGCAACCCATACGAAGGAATACCATTTGTTCATTTTCCAGTCTGAAGTCCGATCCCTTTCTTACGGTATCCGTAGTGGTTCCGTGTACCCAAGGGCCAATGCAGCGAACGCCCAGCATTGAAGTTGTAGTTTTTTCTAGATCTGAATTCCAAAAATTTCTCCTATGGGTATTAAGGTATTTAATGCGCAATTACATTTATAATTGTATTCTAGGAACAGAAACATGCATATTTGTGATACTGATACTGTGAAAGCAATAAATCTTGGGTCCTTGGCTATAGTGTTGCACCCTGATACCACTGTAAACTTAGACTGTAATTTTTGCACATAGGAGTTTCAGTATTTGCAGTCTCAATGTGAACATTTGCAGCTGGTACAGTTTTGGTGATACCCATAAGAGCCATTAATTTTCAATACAACAGCAGTAAAAGTAAAAACTCTGAGAGCATTGCATCTGATCTGGGGTGACCCAACCCAGCTCACGAGCGCCAGACTCGGGAACGAGATCCGCTACAGGAGGGGTTACCCTGTTCCCCTCGTACGGAGCCAATCATGAAGCACCCACGTGTCCCCACAGAGATCATTGACTGCCCTCGTATGGCACCCATCTTAGGTGTTCATTTCTACCTACCTCTAGGCAGCTCAAGTATAAATAGGGGTACTCTCCTCCAGGTAAGGAGAGGAGTCTAATACAATCAACATTTGGATTTGGAACTGGTCTCAAAAACTATATTTTAGTTCCCCTCTTCGTACCTTGTACTAACTTGACCGTTGGAGACTCCGCCTCGGGTTCTCACCTAGGGCCTCTGATGTATTCTGTCTTACAGTACCTCGGCCATCTGCCTTTGGCTTCTACAGTACTTGGAGCCTCCTCTGCCTCGGCCTTGGCAGCATCCTCTCCAAAACCTCGAAGCCTTCGGCCAGCCTCAGGAGCCTAGGGACAAAATTACTTTGTTGCCCTTGGCCAATCCGAGCTCCAACAATTGGCGCCGTCTGTGGAAACAAAAATAGAAGGGCTTAAAGGGGAAAGGGGAGAAGGGGTTCGAATGGAGCTCCCCTCTGATACATTCGGAAGTTCATACTACTCAGGTCCAGAATATGAGAAAGATATAGTTGGAAATTACCTAAAAAGGGTAGTGGAAGGAAAAGAAGTGAAGGTAGAGTGTTGAAGACTAGAGAATCTGGGAGCTGAGTTCACTCGAAGGTGAAAGCACTTGGAGGCAAAATGACAAGAATTCTACTGTCGAAGCCCCTATTTAAAGAGGAACGAACGGCCCAGATTTCTCGAGATCCAATGACTGAGAAGCCACCGCCTCCACAACCCAATCATGGTGCGCCGCATGACGCTCAACCTCGGAAGGCGAAATGATGTGCCAGTGACGGCTTAGATCGTCCCTGATCCAATGGATGCGAAACGCCTTCGCACCTGCGATCCAGCTGCGCCGCACTCTTGAACGCCCATCCTCGGAAGGCAAAACGATGCTCAGGGTGCACCTGCGATCCAAACACGCTACACCCATGAATGCTCACCCTCGAAAGATGAAATGATGCTCAAGACAGACTAGCATGTTTGCCCAAAATGACCCGCCGGTCTGGGCTACTCGTTCCCGCGAGCACGCACACTGGTCCAACCAGAAAGTCATCGCGCGCACGGATCCTCGGGCCTCACGGGCCCCTCAGCTTCATAGGTCCTTGGCCTAAACAGCCTTTGGCTTCACATGTCTTCGGCCTAAATAGCCTTTGACTCTACAGGTCTTCAGCCTGAACGGCCTTTTGCCCCTTAGGTCCTCGGCCCAGATGACGGCGCCAGAGCTTCCGCACTGAGCATGCCCCCGAGTCACTTGTCTGAAGTAGCAGTGCCATAGACCACTTGCAGCCTTGACCCAACTTATAAAGACGAACCAGGTAGAGACGAGGAAAAGGACACCACCGCAGGGTACACCTCGGCTACCGAGCCCATTGGCGCTCGCCATTACTACTCCCATCAGCCGAAGCCAAAATTTTCTCTCAGCCTCGGGAGTGGAGGGCAAGTGATGTGGGGTGACCCAATCCAGCCCATTTGGGGCTGGGATGCCTAGCTCACAAGTGCCAGACTCGTGAACGAGATCCGCTATAGCAGGGGTTACCTTGCTCCCCTCGTACAGAGCCAATCGCGGAGCACCCACGCGTCCCCGTAGAGCTCTCTGACCACCCTCGTACAACACCCATCTCAGGCGTTCATCTCCACCTACCTCCAGGCAGCTCAAGTATAAATTGGGGTACCCCCCTCTTGGTAAGGAGAGGAGTCTAATACAGTCAACATTTGGATTTGGAACTGGTCTCAAAAACTATATTCTATTTCCCCTCTTCATACCCCGTACTAACTTGATCGTCGGAGACTCTGCCTCGGGTTCTCACCCGGGGCCTCTGACGTATTTTGTCTTGCAGTACCTTGGCCACCTGCCTTTGGCTTCCGTAGTACTCGGAGCATCCTCCGCCTCGGCCTCGGTAGCAACCTCTCTGAACCCTTGAAGCCTTCGGCCAACCTCAAGAGCATAGGGACAAAATTACTTTGTTGCCCTCGACCAATCCAAGCAAACAACATCCAACCCTACAAGAGATCTCATATATGCTAAATTCATGGGGAGACGATGTTCGTAATGTGTAGTTGGATGTCAATGTTTACAAGAGTGTTTGTAAAGCTTTTGCTTTCAAGAGATACATATCAAAATCTTTGGCTTACAAGCATGAGAATGTGGGTTTGAGTCTTAGGTGGTATATGATGTCTAAAAAGCTGTTAGATGTCTTAAGTGGCATACCACTTTCAGATGTTAGATGTCTAAAAGGCTGCTTTTCAAACCTTGGAGGCATTTGAGGTGATAAAATGGTCATAAAATGACATTAATGCCCCAATCTTATTACAACAACAAAAATAATGATGTTGAAGAAGAATAATAATAATTAATAAAAAAATGTTCAATAATAATAACAATTATTATTTAATATTTTATTATTATTTTTTATATTTCTTTTTTTGGCTAACTATTATTTTAAATATTTCAAACAATCTATTTGCAAGGGTAAAATAATAAATAACACACTTTTTTTGGAATCCTAAAATCCACACTATCAAATGTTGGAGAATTTCTCCAACTCAAATGATCTTATCTTTTGAGAGCCTCTAGAAAGAAAAACATCACTTTTACTTCTTTTCAGATTTCGACACCCCAATAATCGTATTTACTAAAGACGTGTTGACTTGTCGTTTTAACTGGAAAACCAATGAATAGGTGCCAGTTTCATGAAACTGCCTAGGCCATTAAATACTTGAAATTTTAAATGAGTTGGAGAAGTCTTGAACCCATGACCTCTTATTTTCATATATCGCTTAATTACCACTAATCAACCTCTTTACTTCTGTTATTTAATCAATCTTTATTGTATGTATTACTTTATTATACATGCATTTTAAAGAAAATATAAATTATGAGACTTAAACCCTGGTCTTTTATTTTAAAAATTAAGGAATTTTCCATCCATCCACCACATTTTATGTATATTAAAAATTGTAAGATATATTCTATATAGTATTTATATAACCTATAGTATATATACATATATGCCATGCCATCACGGTTCGACCCTGGTTGAATCTCTCCCTTCTCTAGTTCTTTTCCTGGTCCGATTCTCTAAACATTGGTTAGAACCTTACATCGGGTGAATCAATATTTCTACTTCCGTGAAAGAGGCAAGTGTCCTTCTGAGTGGTTACATGCCTATCCTAAGGGCTCTTGAATTCTTGCGTCCTTCATGCAAGAGCAAAATTGAATGCATATTGAGCAATGGCTTAGATGCTTGCATCCTTCACTAATGGTCTACTTTTCTTGTAAGCAT